AGCTATGCTTTCACCAAAGCTGGTTGACAATCTAATTTATAGAAAAATAGAGGCATCATGGTAATATAAAGATGGCTACACTAGTTAAGAAGTCTGAGTATTTCTAGTTTCTCCATTGCTAGTAACTATCAATATTTAAGTAAATCAACCTGAAATTTTGTTTCCTTTTCTGTAAAATTAAAGGAGTAAATCATACTTTTATGACCTCTTTTAGCTTGAAGATTCTATTTTAATGTGTACAACTGTAGCTTTGATATTCCGATAGTCAAACTGTAGAGTCATTTTCTCCTGATCAGCATCAGGGATTTTAAAAACCAGAGAGGAACTAACACATGCTTTTGTTCATAAGAACAGGAAAGGTTTGGGTACTCCTAAGTCGAACCACTTGGAATCACGGAACTACCTTTCAGCAGCCACCACCTACTTGGCCAGCACGCACTTCTCTGGTCACTTTCCTGCCTCTGCATCCAGGCAAGGTGAGAGCCGCCAGGACAGAGGTGTCACTCCCACCAGCTGCTGCTCTTGGTCCTGAGCTCCAACAGATATGTGACTTCGGGCAGGTTACTTTACCTCTCCTGTTTCCTCATCTGCAAAATGGGGAAGATGATAAAAGCACTAGCACTTGTTGCGTTGTCATGACAATTAAATGTATAAACCCCGTATGGCCCATCGTTTGGTGCCTGGCACAGGGGAAGCACTCAGTAATGGCAGCAATGATTTTTGATGATCACAGTGCATGGTTATAGCATCCATATAACTCGGCACATAACTAAAGAAAGTCCACGAAGTGCTGGTAAAGTCACAGTGCGGCCACAGCACTAACGCAGTCTCACTTGTTGACATGAAGGAACGACTGAACATGCTGACTCTATGCCTCTTTCCAGAAACGCCGCGTCACACAGTCCTGAAGAGGGGACAGTGATTTAAGGAAACAGGTGGCATGATCAATGAATTAGAGGTGTCTCTTTCACACAAGAGAGACTAGTGAGAGTTGCTGCCCCCCTAGGAGGGCAACGGTCTTGGAGTCAGGGACAGGAGACTGACTTCTCACTATATACCCTTGTATCTTCTGAATTTGAACCTCAAGTATCTTAACTCTATTAAAAAATAAAGTATTTCTTACCACGTTAATTTTTGAAAAGTAAAAAGATAGAATTTGTACTTTTAAAAAGTTATGCCTTCCCTCATGAGAGGTGGGGAGTTGAAAGGCAAGCTTCCCATGCGCTCACTGCTGCCCTATCCACGTTCCCCACAACTGGAAGGGTGTGGGCAGAAGCCCTGGGAGAACAGAGATGGAGAGGAGGAAACCTTCGGTTCAGGACTATTCAGGTTTTGACTGGTTTCCACACAAAGGAACCACAGGAATTCCTATTGTAGACTTGGAGCAGGGCTTTATCTCCGCCTCTCATCTACTGCCCAGGGAAGGTAAAGACCTGAATTAAAAGAAACAACAGGCAAAAGAAGTGTGTGTGTGTGTGTGTGTGTGTGTGTGTGTGTGTGTGTGTGTGTGTTGTGTAGTCCAAATAACCCATGCTGGCTCAGCCTTTCAATACTGTTTTTTAAAATATTATTTTAATAAAGAAATCTGAAAAAATTCTGCATCCTCTTGAAAAGTAAGACTGGCTTAGAAATAACAAGAGTTGCATTTTATTTGAGCAAGTATAATCTAGTGTAACAAACCACAAGGTTAGTTTCTTCCTTTTATTCATATTTTCCATCCCTGATGGAATGTGTGAAGAGGATGGGCCTGAAAAGAAATAACTTAAATCTCATTCTAAGTAACCTATCACACAGTACCCCACACCAAAACAGATCTTTGAAGAACCAACAATACTGTGTTAAAAATCTGTGTTAAAAATACATTTGGAATTCTAGAATGTGTAAATATGAAATAGATTTATATAAAAATAAGCTACCCGCAAAGCGTCAAGATTAAACCCGCTACGCTTGCGTAGCTCAGAATCAGGCCTGCATCTTGAGCACATTCTTGGAAGTGGGGAGGCCCGGTGCAGCTCCGTGGTGCACTGCGATGGAGCAGAGCACTACGTCCTGCTAGCCAACTGCAGCAGCTCTGCTTGTCTTACACACGCCAAAATAGCTTCATTATCGTTGCTTGGAGACAAGAAAAACAGTGTGTTGGTTCCACAAGTCCTCATAGTTTTTAAAAGTGTACTTTAGGCGACAGGGAACAGCGTGCAGTGGACATAAGATGAGAATATAAGAAAACCGAGGAACGTGGTTGCTGGTGCAAAACGCCCTCCGTTTCAGGCAAGCGTAGTACTCTAACACGTGTGACTACCTAGCACAAGTTCATTTCCTTTATTTTCCTGTTTCAAATGATTGAACATCATGAACTGCCAAGTTAAATCTGACAAGGTGGTGTAATCCCATGATCCAATCAGTAACTTCTATATCCAAAAGTCCAGATTGAGAATTTTAGGATTAAAAAAAGACAAATGGAGTGACAGCTCTGGATTCTATGCCACACGGTTGTACAAGATGCAGTGTTCGCACAGCTTCCAGCTGACTGCCTGCTCTCTTCAGCGAGAGGCTGTAGACAGTAGCTGTTTAAGGCTGAATGGAGAGCTATCAAATCATGCTATTTTAGTACCAAAGCTTTGGTTTCAGGGACAAATTAGATAAGCAAGAATTAAGAGTTCCTGTGTATCTTTGAGAGCTTGGCTCAAGCCCCAGCTCTCACGAGCTGCTCCTCACTTCCTGAATGGGTTAGGTGCTCACACATCAACCCTATGGCAGACATTGGCATTTGCCCACACACCGTTCTTCCAGAACCCCCGTTTTAGTCAACATTGACGGCCATATGCTTCACAGAAGCCTGGAACTCTCCCAGCCCCAGGAGCTGAATCTTCACTAGTAATCCGGAGCTTTTAATTCCATTCTCCTTGCCAGGGACTGGTTAAGGCAGAAGGTTATGATGAAAACCTAGCTGGTGAGACTCAGAGGGCATCTGCTGCTGGAAGTCTTCCATGCCAGTGTTCCTTGCTCTTAAGACAGGACCAAAGAAAGGGGTGCTGCCTGTTCCCTCTCTGGAGCCTGCAACTGGGGCAGCAATACATGTTAGGATCAGGGGAACCAGCCTAACTAGGGAGCAGAACGGGTAGGAAGAATCTGACGGTGATGCCATTAAGTCACTGAATTAAGCAACCCTGAGATTTCCTACCTCTTGTTTTGTGAGATAATGAAATTTCCTTATTGTTTAAACCATTGGTGGGGGTGGGGGTGGGGTGGCAGACATCTGCTATTTGTGGCCCCAAGTATCAGATGCAATTCCCTTCCTCTGAAATAACATAACCTATTTTATAGAGTGGAGTGCACACACGCACGCATGCACTCTCTCTTTCTTTAACTAAATTCACTCTCGTGAGTCCTAACTTTACCTCCCCCATCTCCTAAATTCGAGCTCCTTGGAGTGGATGGAGTGGAGCGCATGCTCTGTATTCCGTCTGGAATACTCTCCTCTCCAGCACTATCACTTACTTCAAGGCTCAGTTCAAAGCAACTCCTACATGAATAGTTTCTTATTTGATCCCTGCCTACATCTTTCTCTACCATATAGCACTTACCGCCTCTGACTTGTGAGCACCTTGTCTGCTGGTTCCTGTGTCTCCCCTCAGTGTCTACCTCACCGTGCACACATTTGATTTACAGTGACTGACTGTCTGAGTATGAAGCACCATTTCCCTTCACCTGAAACTCAGGGTTTTCCTTTCCTCTTCTCTTCTTCGTCTTCTTTCCTTATCTTACTTCTCTGTAGAAGAGAAGACAAAAATTGAGATAAAAGAAATTCAGAGCTCAGACTCTGAAGGAAGAATAAGTATTTCTAAAGAAAGCCAAAAACGGCCTGCCCTGCCTCCTGGGAGCCAGAGATGAAGTGAAAGGATGATGACGATGCAGGGGGACAGCAGTCAGACACGACACAAACGGCCTCCTGTTTCTCTGGCTCCCAACGCACAGTGACCAGTTCCACTATTGAAACCGGGGTGGGGGTCACACTTCACAAATCGGAAGTGATGGCAGGAAAGATCGCAGAGTCTATTCCACACTGTCTCAAGAGTGGATGAGAGGGGACGGAGCATCTTGTGGTTGGACTTGGAGCTTATACCTTGAAGCTTTTGGTTATAAAAACCAGAATGAAGTGTGGATACCAGTAATAACACTGCTATCTCAATGTAATGGACTTCATCTGAATGTGCTCACATAAAAGTATTTGATCTGGGGCGGGCCCTGTGGCTTACTGGTTAAGTGCTTGCGCTCTGCTACTGGTGGCCCAGGTTCGGATCCCGGGTGTGCACCGATGCACCGCTTCTCCAGCCATGCTGAGGCCGTGTCCCACATACAGTAACTAGAAGGATGTGCAACTATGACATGCAACTATCTACTGGGGCTTTGGGGAAAAAAACAAAAAGGAGGAGGATTGGCAATATATGTTAGCTCAGAGCCGGTCTTCCTCAGCAAAAAGAGGAGGATTAGCATGGATGTTAGCTCAGGGCCAATCTTCCTCACCAAAAAAAAAAAATTGATCTAATGTAGACTTCAAGCTGTTTTAAAATGGAAAATAAAATCTTGGGTTGTTTTTGTTTTTACTTTACAACTCTTACGGTTGTTAGCTAAACCTCAAAATACAGGGCCATCAGCAGATTTCCGGAGCATCTGCAGAAAGGCCTACTCCATCACATGAGCTGCATCTCTAGTGGCTGCTCTCCCGTGTGAAAGCTCTGGGGCCGTCCTTCCCATGAGATGGCAGAAAGAGCATTTGCAGAGGCCATGACCCAGTGCAGACATTGGCTCGCACACCCCTGAAGGTGTGCTAATGCAACTCTAACTTCAACTTTTAACTCTTTCCAGATATTAAAAATTTGTTGTAACTTTCATTAGGTAATATCAAACCGACACTAAGAACTTCTGCAAGATCTTTTATATTACACAATAGAGTAAAAACTGTCATAAATGTTCCGATAGTTAATGAGCACCAAACACTACAAAGTGTAACCAACATGGTTCTGTTAAACACTCCCTTCGACTATGGCATTCAAGGACAGCAATACAATATTTTCTTTACAAAGCAACTAATATAAAAATCTGCAAATGCCATAAATTCATTTATAGGCTATTATTTTCACACAGGTGTGCCATTAGATTCTTTCAACTCTTTCTTTCTTTCAATTCTTTCCTGAGGTATTTTTTGTGGTTTACTTTTATTGTACTGTTAGATGCATTATCTTTGATTATCCTTTCCTAAAATGATTTTTAAAGACCTGCAAAAAATTTTATTGCATAGGACACTATTCATGACACAGAGATTGGGAACTGCAAATATGTGGCATTGGAACAAGTCTTACAAATATTGCATTTTAAGAATTTGTTACATACATTTTTTACAGTTTGTCTCTTTTAAAAAGTTGAAGTTACAGCTAAGAGTTAACTACGTACAGTGAAGCATTTTAGGAATGTTAGAGATTAGAGAATACGATGAATGATACAAAGGAAAAAGCCATAATTCTTGCCGGCTATATATTGTATTGCCTTCAAAAGCAACTGTACATGTTGTAATCAGTTCATAGTCAAATATTTCTACTAATCTGTTTTAGGAGAGCAAATGTCTTTCAGGGTTTCAAGTTCCTCTATAAGCTTCTTGTTCTGAACTTCCAGCACTGCAACTCGACTCTCCAGACATTTTACATATTCTTTCTTTCGACGTCGACATTCTTTAGCAGCTTCCCTGAAAAAAAAGCAGAAGCAAGAGGGCAAACAAAACATTTGTTGCATGCTCCTGACAGATAGACAGAAGTAAGCCTGGTGAGTGTGATCATGGTTGCATTCCAAATCTTGGAACAACATTCCCAATGCAATCTCAAACACTAAGCCAAACTGGCTTCTTAAGGGTCAGAAGTGTCCCTTCCACAAGTCCACATGGCAATTAGTAGAAATGCTGCATCTCCTGCCTTGATTAGAGTTCACAGTAAACAAGGTCCAAGTCAAAGACAGTTACTCTGCTTTATGGCAATAAAGATCTTTGAGGGCCTTGAGTTCCTCAATGAGGGTCTTGTTTTGGTTTTCAAGCACAGCCACACGATTTTCAAGACATTTGACATATTCTTTCTTCTTCCTGCGACACTCCCGGGCAGCTTCCCTGGAACCAACACAAGGCAAATGACTACAAGCACAACCTTCCAGCACAATCCAGAGTGGCTCAATGAACTGCCCCCCAAACTCAACAGCCAATCAATCCTAGGTAAGGTTTGTACAAAGCCACACAACAAATGTAACCAAGCACATGCCTTTCTGTAAGATTACTCTAAGACAACAAGAACAACTTGAGAGCAGTCGATTCGCTGGGCATTCTTCGTAAACGGTGTTTCTGAGGGCACACATTCCATGATAACAGTGACCAGAATGGTTTTCAGTAACCTAAACAATAGGACTGCATCCCCAAGTGGAATTTCGACAAAAACATTCACAGATCCTTTCGATTCTCTTAATTATTTTGTCCACCAAAAGCCACATATTCCACCACAATGAGTTAACTTTATTTGATCAAAAATGATTAAAAAATTAATCCTCAGAAACCCTAAATGTCAAAATTGGAGATTTTAATTCTTCAAGATTAAATCTCAGTAAAACAAATAAGATCAATCACAACTGCAAAAAACTGTTTATTGGCTAGAGAACAACATAGATAAAAATAATAAACAAATCATGCACATTTTCATAAACCAAAATGAAATGGAGTCGGCCTCTCAAAATTAAAGGAAACAAGGGAGGGTACATAATACAACACTCAATAATTCAGACAGTTTAAACCCAGGAATATGAGAACACTACAATTAAAATTAGGAAAAGGAAGCTACTGAATAAGTCAAAAGTATATTTCAAGACTGTTCGCTAATCACATGATTTACTATCCAATATATGGAATTTTAAAGCACTATAGGCATGCCCAAAGGAAAGAACAGACCAGCAGACACAGCAACAAACACAAATAAATAAATGAGTTGAGTTAGTCATTTTCAGGCATAATCCCACCAAAAATAATAACTACAGCCAACATTTTCTCTTTTTCTCCTTTTTTCAGGGTGGGAGGGGGTGGAAACTATATCATTTAACTCCTCTATAGAATATACCCTCTCATAACACCTTTAGTTTGGAATATTCAATTGAGATGAATTGCCCTTGGGGTACCCTTCACATCAAAACAGCCTACATTGAAACAGATAATTCAAATATATTTTAACAAAAGTCATGTTGAATGTCTAAACACCAGTTACTATAATGTCAATTAGCACTGCTGCAATTCTGAACCAGGAGTGATGTGTACAACAGAATTGGCTAATTCTGTCCTATTTTTAGAATAGTTCACCCTCACTAACAACTAGTTATCTGTGTTTTCTCTGTGGGAAGCAAGAGTCAGCAGAAAAGAGACCTTGAAATCCCAATGAACTGCAGGAAAAGATCAACCCCTACTTCCTAACCAAGAACAATGCACTCACCCTGTGAACTCACACAGTTCTCAGACTTCTCAACTGGTTGACAAAAAAATAAAAATGTAAAAGTGAACTGAATCTGATAAATACAGATTAATTTAATCATAAGCAGGGAAAAGTTAAGAATAAATTTAAGCACACATAAATTTGCCAATTTGGGGACATAATTCAACTCTCTTCCACAAAGGAACTAAAATACATTTACAATTACCAAGGTTTTCATGATTAAATCATATTAAATTCTAGATTTAGAAGGAAGATAGCCATTTTACAAAACAAGTTACCATTAAATGAAATTTTAAATATCTAATAGCAGTGCTGTGAGATGTTTAATTTTTAAAATTTTATTTACCAACATGTACTATTTATTGTAAATAATCATACTTCATATTTCACATGTGCGTGCACACATATTACCAGAGTCAAAATGTTCCGAGCACAAAGCTTTAAATGATCACACCAGTAGATGGTACATTCCTAAGTACTTCTCAACTATGGAAAACACCTGTTTCTTCTATTAATAGTGAGCTCAGTTTTCAGGCCTTGCATCTGTCTGGATATATCCTCAGCATGGAGAGGAAATACATAGCAAAGAGGAAAAACCGACAAGACTATAAAGAAATAAAAACTGCCGCTGGATTGGTAGAAATATAATTATATATCTATTATAAACGCCAGCCAAAGAACAAAAAGAGAGAAAGCATAAAAGGTCTTTCACGTTAATAAGTAAAACCTACATACTTTCCCTGAAGTTAAATCTGAAGCTTATGCCGAGGTCTTTTTGAGGTGACCCAGGTGTCAGTGCAGTGGACTGGCTCTGGAATGAAGAGCTGTCCAGGTTCTGTCCAGTTTGGGCTGTGTGATCTTAACCAACTCACTACTTACCCTCTCTGAAGCTTACTTCCTCATCTGTAAGTAAGGATAACAACCAGACCTGTTCTCATGTGCACGTTAGGTGCGAGTTATACAAACAGGAGCAATAATGCACTTAAATCTTGCATACGGCACTTGCTCAGCAGACACTGAGCAACCTAGTAGCCATTTATCACCTGCTTATCTCTTGTCTTCCTCTGAAATTGAGATTTGGAAAGCTAAAGTAGACCCTTCTCAGAATCTCTTGCAGCTAGGGACTCTATTAGCTATTTCTAGTCAACAGAATGTGGGTGAAAGTTGCTGGCAGGGTCTTCCAGGAAAGGTTTTCAGAAGGGCCAGACTCAGCCAGCTCCAATTTTGAGCTCTAGCCCTTCTCTCTTCTTCCTGCCTGATGCAATGCCTAGAGGTGTGACAGCCACGTTGTGATCATAAGAAAGACTGTCACACACTGAAGATGACAAAGCAGGGAGGAGGAGCCTGGATCCTGGATGACACTGCCAAGCCTTTGTTCTGGCTGCAGGTACCTCTGGACCAGCTCTGTAAGATCACAATACCACCTACAAGGTTAAGCCTCCATTTTCCTTGGTTATTTACAGCCCAAACACAAATGCTGCCCAACAGTTATTGTTAGCTAATTATTTAATAAAACCCAAAAATTTTATGATTTTTTCACTCAAGGAGATCTCATATGTATGTGTAGGTAGTTGTGGGGCACATCTATAAAGAACCCACTACCTGATATTTTATCTATTTCATTTTGGTAGTTCTGACAAAATTTTTTAATCTAAAAATAAATTGTAGAGAATAATGACAAATGGGAAATAAGAAGGCTAATTCCTAGTTCTTCCTTTTTATTTCCTTTGGGAAAGTAAGACATCAATGAACAAATTTTCCAGTTTGCATTATCATCACACTTTATGTTTCTAAACTGAACTTCACAGTATACATTCTACGACCAGAGAGGCAATCATATTCATAGGTCCTGAGATCTCTGGAAGTGCACTGTAGAGTATGCCTATTCCTCCATCAGATCAAAGTTAGGGATCTTTGATAACAAGACTTCCAGACAAAACTATGATAACTTTGTGAGCCCCACCCATGCAGCCCCTTCAGAATTTCTGAGCAAAATGCTGATGATGAAAAATATGAATCCAGGATGACTTAGTAAACCTGGAACAACCACTATATAAAGATGGATGTATCTTAACGATCCTATTTCTGGTAATCTGTTGAGTTCTCCAGGGTACAAAACTCCATTTAGTGATCTGTGATAACTAATAAGCTTGGGAACTGTAGCCAACTTAAGGAGTCCTATAATGTATCAAATTGTGACATTTAAAAGGCTTTTAGTAAACTGAATATAGCTGCTACTGGTTCACGCTCAGTTACAAAGGGCAGTGATGAACTCAGCACTTGCTTCTGAATTTTAGAGGCTCACAATTTCTAGATTAACGAGGCTGCTAACACCTGGTAAATTAACTACCACCTTGTGGTCCTAATCATAGGTGAGCACATGATCCCATCTGAAATGTTTTCTTTTCTTACAATGAGGACATTATTTAACACTTAGGAGTAAGGTGACAAGACTACTGGGAAAACTCTCAGACTATTCTTATTTTGTTCATTTTGAAAATCAGATTAATTTGCACCATTCTCCATAATAAAAACTAAACCAGGAAATAGTATGCAAGTTAAATAAAAAAGAATTTTGGAAAATAGCATTTTTATGAAATAATTGCTGTTTAAAAAAATAAAATTATAGAGATATGGTGCAAGAATAAGTGAGAAAACAAGAGAGAGTGGACTGGAAGTGTGTATACTATAATGTTAGCAGGTCTCTAAGTGGTAGGGATGGGGTAATTTTAATTCTTTCTGTTATTTTGTATTTGCAGCCGACTAGGAATTATCAGAATAAATATGTATTTCAGTATAATAGAGAAAAAATAAAGTTGCAAAATAGATAAAAGGAAACATATAAAAGACTTAGAAAATTCTTAATTCACACAAATTTATTTTGCTCATAAAGAAGCTAAAAAATTATACTTACCTACTTCACAAAGTAAATACCAAGTACAAAAGAAATCTTTATTTGTAATAAAGTCCTTCCATCATCATTAAAAAAATTAATGTATCTTTTAGACATTTCCCTTACAAAACACAGGTTTTGATGTTTTGTATCCTGCTGATACAAATCCTGCTGATGAAATAGTTTCACGGGTAGGAACTCTGACTAGAAGACAATCTAATTATCATCACATATAGGGCACAAACCCCCATAAAATGCTACATAACACTTAACTGGGGAGAAATAGCTTAGGAAAAGTAATTTTTTTTTTTTAATGTATATATTCTTTTTTTTTTTTCTTTCAAGTTTACCTAAATGACATTTATAGAACATCAAACGCAACAACAGCAGAATACTGTACACATTCGAAAAGTAATTTTTTTAAGCCCCACAGTAATACATTATAGCTCCTATAAGCGGTTGCTGATTTCTAGTAAAACATCTTACCTGTTTTTCATTAGCCTCAGCTCTCGTTTTCGTGTTGCTTCTTCTGCTAGTTGCTGGGGACTGTGCAAACTTCCTGGTGAGGCAGCCATCACTACTCCCTGTGGCAAAGCAGTGGCAGGAGCTCGGATCTGGTAAGTTGGCATGTCACCAGTGGCAGCTACAATGAAACAAAATATTACAAGCTTATATAAACAATTTACAACTTGATATTTTATATACAACTGACCTAAAAATAACATACTTCTTTTTACATGTCATAAGAGGTGATCTTGCTAATGTTTAAGGTGATTATTTGGAGTATTTTAGAAAGCTTAGGTATCAAAGATATTCAGCATTTGGAACAATGACATTCAGCATGCTCTATATATTTAAAGTAGAAAAATGCCCTAGCCTAAAATCAGCAGTGTGCTGATAAATGTTAAACAACCAGCTCTCTGGGGTTGTTAGCCCTGATCTGTAGCATTTGTCTATTCCTACAATGTAAATACTTTCACCGTGGCCAATTTCAAGCTACCAATGTGACTTCACTGAATGTAGAGTTGAGAAGACATACACAGTGCACACCATACAGATAAAATAGATGTAAATAAACTCAAGAGCATAGATAAAATAACTGGAAGTGATCTTTTGAGTATTTATTAATGTTGTTTTTAATGTAATTTATTTGTTAAATATGTGTATGTGTGTATATATATATACACATAAATTTTTAATAATGGCTGTTGTAGCAACCAGCTCACAAAAATCCTGAAAATTTAACAATCAGCTCTTGCAAACCAGTGGGAATTGGCTCTAGCACACCACTGCAAAAATTTTAATTAAGCAGAACATCTTCATCCTCTAACTATTCCAGTGAGGAGATTTTCCTATACCCTGTACCATGCCTGAAACAGTTACCAAATGTCTTCAAGTGCAAGTCCTATCACCAGAAGATGACTGAGGTGCTAGAAGGAAAATACTAGCTCACTGTATTTTCAGTTTAAAATCAAAAACAAAGCAGCAAAGCTCTACTTAAAAGTGGTTTCTGGGGTGGCCCTGGGGCTTAGCGGTTAAGTGCGCGCGCTCGGCTACTGGCGGCCTGGGACCGACACACTGCTTCTCCAGCCATGCTGAGGTGGTGTCCCACATGCAGCAACTAGAAGGATGTGCAGCTATGACACACAACTATCTACTGGGGCTTTGGGGGAAAAAAAAAGGAGGAGGATTGGCAATAGATGTTAGCTCAGAACCGGTCTTCCTTAGCCAAAAAAAAAAAAAGAGGAGGATTAGCATGGATGTTAGCTCAGGGCTGATCTTCCTCACAAAAACCAAAAAAGTGCTTTCTCTGGGAAATGATCATTTCTGTCTTTGTAGGTTTCTTGGGATAATAATACATTTCTAAGTATTCATTTTTAAAAACTATTTTCTAATTATACTATAATCATAGTTAAATGATAGACAATATTTATTTAGTATTCATATTGAATACTGAAAGTCCTCAAAATGTCCTAATTTATATTCAAATTTTATCTATCTACTGCAATAAATGTAGCTTCCTAGAAAAGACAGATGGATTTAAATGATGAAACGTATTTCCACCACCAACATTTCAATTTTGAGAACGTATGGTCCAGAGTTAATTTGACACTCTGATGGGATATTACAAAATACACACTCTCTCAAAGCTAAATGCAAGAAAAAGATTTAAAGAAAGGTATTAAATCATGTAAAAATTGGTCTGAACCAAACGCCAATCAAAACATGAAACACAGCCACTTCTATATTTCATTAAAATGTATTATACCCATTGAGTAACAACTAAAATTTTACCCAAAAGGGAGACAAAAACTTTTTCACTTAAATGGGATATTATCACTGAAAATAGCCAAGCAGTTTACAAGGTTAATCAAAAATTGATCTATGTGCTTCTTTTTGGGTAAATGCCAAGTTTGTTTTCTCCCTAGGGCTCAAGAATTAGGTAAAAGACTAAAACAATAACAAATATGACTTTGGGGGAAGATCATTAAAAGTCTTCATAAGATTAACAAAAATACCATTTATAAGGTTATACTGCTTCTTCCTTCTGTATGTAATTTAAAAAAACAATGGTGATAAATAGTAACTGTGATAAATACAATGATCACCAGCAAAATCTCTATTAATAAACTTGGGAAAAATCCTAAATTTGTTTTTGTGACTATTAAAAATACTGTATACACAGATGTCTCATTATATGTCACAGAAAATCTTATAGCTTTGAAATATGTAAGAAAATAATTTTAAAACCGGTTGTAAACTGTTAGCTTACTAAAGTTTTTTTTTTTTTTAATATTTTAATCATATTGTTGGAGGATATAAAATGGAGCATAGAATAACATAGTTCTCTCCTCTCTTCTCTTCTCTTTACCCACATCCAGGGAAGAAGGTTATGGGATAATAAAAGTTGAAACAATGGAATAGCTGGAGGCTACACAGACTTTCTAAAATTGGAACAATAGCCAGTGACGAATGAGAAGTTTACGTGTCATCATATTGACATTTGCAGGCCACGTGGATGCAGACCTTGGTCTAGGGTTGCTGTTTCCAAACGCTGCTCACAAAGAAGTGCAATAAAATCAACAGAAAGGTACAGAGGGGTTCATTATACTCTCTGGTCTTATATACATCTGCTATTTTCTGTACTGTAAAGTTAGAGCAGAATGCTTATCAGATATACAAAAGTTAGTTGAAGAGTATCTATTTTTTTAAAAAAAGGAAATAAAGCGTGGTGGGAATACTTCACAGATGAAAAATAAAGCTCATTCATTGGTCTTAGAACCAGCAATGGTTCTAAACTTTTGCCTGTTTCCAAAAGCTGAAACCACCCTTAAAGGACCAAATTTGGCACCACGAAGAATAATGGCAATTCCAAAAAAGGCATTCTTAAAACATTTTGAGCAGCAGCTCAAATGATAACTTGGAAGGGAAGGATATATTTGGATGTATCAGTTCTGGGATGTTAGCTAACAAACTGAGTTTTATTACAATTTTTCAGACATACTATATATTCCTTTGATCTCCTTCAATGAAAATCAGATTGCAGCTCATTAGTTCAAGCCAGCAATAATGAATTGGTACACATTAGTAGGAATTAGTATAAGTTTCTGTAATATCCCAAAGAATCTATATGATGGTACACTTCTAATGGTCACTGAATAAATATGAATGGATAAATCCCACATATTCAAATATGATCTTATTAGTAAATACATTAAAAAGATATGAGCAAAGAGAATCTCTTGTTTTGAGGAAATTCAAATGTCAAAAAGCTTTTATGTTAGTTAGCTTCAGTTTCTAGTATTAAGAATTCCGTGGTAATTTAAAGCAGATTAGATACCTGGGCTCACAGATCAAAGAACCACCCTACGTTCCTCGATGACATATTCTTATGCCTACACTCTTATAAAGGCCAATTCCTGTTCCATCTAACTACTAAAAGTGTTCAAATTGTTTTATTCTAGAATTTCATTGTATAAATTATTTCTGAAAATAAATGGGTCATCAGTGAGGACTTGAAACTCATGACTGAGGAAAGATAATAAGAAAAAGATACTTATACACTAATTTTATTCTATGGCAGCAAAAGCTTTAAAGACAAGTCTGGGACACCTTTTTTACCTTAGAATCCAGCACAGAACGTGACGTGTAATGGCTGATGGTGAGTTCACACATGCACTATGAAGGGAATTCTGAATTCCTCAGGGTTTTGCACAAGCCCACTGTCATTTGGAATGTTTAAAACGAGCAGTCTTATCACTTTAAGACTATTATTAGCTATTGTTATAGCTACGTCTTTAAGTCTTTAACACTAAGACATGGAAAGCCCTATAAGATGCTACATATTTATTCAAACTGGCTTTTCTTGATAAAAGGCGTTTTTTCTTCAATCTTTCCTTAGTCATCTAACCTGGCATTTTAGAAGCAGAGGTGTTCTAATTATAGTGTTTCCAACCATCTAACTCTTGACATGAAAAAAATTTTTTAGGTTTAGTATCAAATAGTTCATGGGAAAAGAAAATTCCTAGAACTCTCAATTCCGGTCAGTAACTTCATACCTCTCTTTGCAAGCTTTAAACACGGTACAGCAGAAAAAGCATGGGGATTGGAGTCTGGGTTCTAGTCCAGCTCTGCCACTTACCAGCCATGTGACTTGGGGCAAGTTCAGTTTCCTCATCTGTAAAATGGGATACAGTATCTCATTTAATACTCACAATACACCCTGCAATGTATGTCAAAGTGTCTAGCACAGTGCCTGGCACCTGGGAGGCATTCAGCAAATGTTAGTGCCCTTCCTCTTCCCTTCCTTAAGTTCTGAAAGACAATGTTCCAAATTATGCTTACACTGTGTATTAGTTAAAAGGCATATAACACCCATAAATACATTCTCCCCTGGAGTCTCCCTGCTAACAAACCTGGGTAATAGAATGATTGAAATGTATGGCTCTTATTCCTTATTTTGTTCAAAAATATGCCTATTAAAAACTTTTAAACTTTATACTGTATTTTATTATATTCCCTTAGAGAATAAATTTAAAAGATAATATAAAACGTCCTTTTCAACGTACATAATCATTTAAAATAGAACCTCAAAGGTGGAGAATCACAAATAACAAATGATATTATCTCATCAGACTGGTGGTAAGAAAACTAAAAAACCCCACAAGTCAAAGAGGTATTTGTTTCTTCCTAAGAAAGAAAGAAGAAACCCAGCCAAATACCTATCTTGACAGCTTCCAAAGTGAAACAATTTATCAACACCCCAAATGATAGTGATTTTATTTGCTTGTTTATTTATTGAGATTGCTACAGTACTGAGTACATTAACTGAAGAAAATGTCTGCCTATGGAGCTCCTACCTTCACGTGACATTTCGCTGTGTGTCACTAATCCCGAGGACATCTAAGTGATCAGCAATAGAGGTAACTGAGAAGTCACACTTATCAGCAGGGGCTTCCTTCCCGAGCTCCAGCAAGCTAGGCCATCGTCCCTTTCCTTCTGTGGTTCTCTCCCTCCCTACGATCACACCAGTGCTCCTAGGGTCCAAAGTAGGCCTGTCCTTGCCTGCTGTCTCACATTGTCGAGAACTGTCCCTCCTCCATCGCTCTACTTCTTCCAGGAAAATTAAACCCTACATAAACATGACTACTTACGCATTGAACATTTTCAAATTTGTTACAATTACTATATAGACCACATAGAATGAAGTCATTAAATATTTTTTACTTTAAGGTACATATAAGGGAACTTTCTGAGTTGTTTATTAAGTGTAAACCTTAGAGTAAAAAAAAAGTCTATATAAAAAATGAGAAATTATGAATATTGAAATTTAAAGTTCTATGTAATAGCAAATACACACTCTATTGTCCTATGAGAGTAATAATAAATATTCTAGAAAAAATCCATTTTGACTACTTAAAATGATGCTAACTTCCTTTTGTAGGTTTATAAGTAGTGTGGCGTGTGCTATTGTAACTCATCTAACATTAGCACAATTTATCAATGTCAGGTGAATTTCGAGGGGCAATGTAATGTGGTGTGAACAGAACTAGACAAGGAGTCTGAAGATCCGAACGGTTCACCACTTGCTAGCTTTGTAAGCTTGGATGAGTCATTTACCCACTCTGACCTGTGTTCAGTTATATGCAACATGAGTGCAATACTATCTGCCCTCAGCAAATCAGTGAGAATGTATGGAAGTGCCTCCCCTCTTGGGGATTTAAATGTGGTTTCCTCAGTGAGGCCCACCGCGATCCTGTATTACCTGCTTCCTGTGGGTCTCTCAAGACTTGACATCTTCTTTGATAGCACTTACCACATTTGTATTTGTGTCTACTTGTAACATTTAGTGATTTTTTATTTTAAAGTTTACATAAATGCAAAGTATCATCATAATTATTTTATTAGGCAATGTATTCATATAGGGAAATGAAAATGGGGCAAAATGAAACAATTATCCCAAATTATATTTCATTAAAAAATTTTCAAAAGTGGTGGGAAAATAGTATAATGGCCATTTCAGAAAACCTTCCAGACAGATCTGGAGTTTTATTGAAACTTAAGGTAGATAAGTGACGTATTATTTTCGCTTCCAACATGATTATAACTTGCTTTGCTGCCAACTTCAAGAAACTGTTACCACCTGATCCAAACCATTCTTTTAAGAGGAAATTTCCAAACAAAAACCTTTTCCAGCAGCCTCCTTTCACAAAGGTGAAATTATCCTTGTTCTCATGCCTCAGATATTAACTAAGATTTTCCAAATTTGAATAAGTTAGAATGTTTTTAACAATTCAGAAATCCAGGCTGAATACTACTTTGTAGAGTTTTTTAGACTCAGAGTCTAAAAGATATGGAGTTAGACTCCTAACATAATCACCTTGTGGATAAAGCCAAAAACTATTTCTAATAAAAATTTAAACTATACCCAACAGAATCAATAATATAATTTACAAACTATAGATATTCACTTTTCACATTCAATTCCATGATTTCTATAAGTAAATGCTCCCAAAACCTTTTCCAGGCCAGTCAGTATTGTTAGGAGCCTGATTTTGGTCTAGATCAGTTTTTCAAACTATAAATTGTGGACCATTAGCGGGTCATAAAATCAATTTCATGCATCAAGAATAGAATTAAAAAAAAAATAGATAAGTATGAGTACATCATATACAGTAAGGATACGCATTATTTTTGAAACTTGTTTTATATAAATGTAGGGCACACACACACACACACACACAGCTCTACTGCATCATGATTTAAAATGTGGGTCATGGTCAAAAAGCCTGCAGACCAATGATCCAGGTCAATCCACTTGGTTTGCCAATCTACACAAGCAGACCAGAACTGAGAACCCCCAGGCTGGTTCTAAAGCTGTTCTACTCTACTTTCAAAAAAGTACCTTAAACCCTCTGCTCTTTGGGCTCTTCAAAAAAAAAAGAAAAGAAAATGTGTTTTTCATTTTCACATAGTATTTCAAATAGAATTGATTCTATAAGAACTGACCACATCTCCAAAAACAATGATTCCCAAGGGCACAACGAAGTCCTGTGAAAAAAGTCTGACATCTTTTAGTTTCAGCATTTGACAATTTTAAATTGGAAAAGGTAAAACTTGGGGAAAAAATTTCTTTAAGGATGGTATGTTCATTCTGTAAACATAAAATGTATAAAAATGTTCATTTATTTACAAGCAATGGTTAAAAATTTATGCAAATTTTTACCTTCAACTTTCATCTTTAAATATATTGAGTATTTTCAAATCATTTTATTTTTTGTTATGATTCTCAAGCTTAGACAAGTCAAAAGGTGAACTGGAATTAAAGGTTTAGTAAAGATAGAAACCAACTAATAATTTTCAGAAAATAAATATATGCAGAAAAATGCCTTTTGGTTCTAAGAATCATATGACATGCAGTATTTGAGATTAAGTCCATCTATATCTTATAATAAATTTGTCATTTGAGAGCTTCTGCAATTTATAGCATCTCTAAAACTTCACAAAAACTTCTTTGAGAAAAGCAGTTCCTCAAGATAATTTTTAAAACAATTTAATACAGATTTTACATGCTCAAGACAATCGAATGTTCCTATCTAGGAAGAGGGCTGAGTCCCATTAACTGAAGAGTTAAATTGTGGTGAAGCTGTTTACAATCATCCATTCTTCATGAATTCAATCGCAAATTCAGTGCTGGGTCAGAAATAAGAAAATAAACTCAATCAAGAACGTTGCCACCACATAAAGGACATTAGCAACTAAGTCAAAATCATGACCTGTAAGAAAACCAAACCACGTTAAGAATTACTGATGACAAATATTTTCCACTAACTGCGGCCGGGGGGCCAACTCTCGGGCCAGCACTTCCCTGACTGAGCACTGGAGGGCAGAGGACCGGCCGGGGCCGTGGGCGCCCAGGGCAGCAGCCCGCCAGCGCCGCCTCCCAGCACGTGCACCTTCCCACGGCGGAGTCCCGCTCTCGCAGGCGGCCAGCTTGCTCGAGCGTCCCCTGGCCAGGCAGACACTTACCTCAAGAGCAATGCCAAAGCAAGGCTTACAAGAAACTAACCAGTCTAAGAGCAGTCTGGAAGGAGGCGGTGGGGAGCTAGTTAGCCACTCTAAATCTGTCAGCAGCGCTTGACAAAGCAGAGGAACTGACTCAGTCTCAGCATGACTCGGCTGACGTCAGTGTGCAGCTCGCCGGGAGGTTAACTTTCCACCTCCCGCCGAAAGGCGATTCCAGGAAATGTAATGACGTCAGCCCTGTGAACTCCACTGGCAGAGCGACGGCCGCTTCACTCGGAGGAAAGCAACGAGGAGGCCCACGAACACCCCTGCCTTGCGGGTCTTTCCTCGTCTGTTTTGGAGCTCCATTTGTACACAGCAATGAAATGGGAAGATTAATTTTTTACAACTTGAAAACTGTGTAAGTGTAATTTGTAGCTGCACTGAATCTGCAACAGGTTGCAGATGAAGTAACAGCTTATATGGTAGAGCAGAATGGAGAGAGCGCGCGAGAGGACTACTGCCTGGGTCAAGTAGGCAATACCATACCGAGCAAAAAGGCAATGACACGAAGATGCCTTAACAGAGTGGGCTGAATCCATATAGATATATATGACAAGAAGCTTCTCACTCCTCAGCTACTGGAAAATCCAGACTTGTTGAAACACTCAGGGTCCCTAAATAATTTTTCTAAAGTTCAAAAACAATTTCTGCAGAAGTAACTTAAATCCCTCTTTAAAATTCTTACCTGTTTCATCTCCAGTTACAGCCATGATGGGCTTCTGCATACAGAGCTGTCTTGTTTCCCCTATCACAGGGCACCAGAAAGTGTTCCCAACCAGCAAGCACGGGCAGGGTAAGGAGGAGTACTGACATCACAATGACATCACTAGCCTATCACTGCCATCAATTTGCTTTGTCACAGACGAGCTCACTGAAACCCAAGCCCTGTGAAAACCCTTCCTGTAAGAAAGCATCTTAATGCCCTCGTCTCTCATTTTTACATGCAAGTCTGTTGGGGTGGACTCGGGCAAAGAATGTCGTATTAGCATTAAAAGTTACATGGTTGTTTCTTATGAGGCTGCTACTTTATTATTGTTCTGTCCAAGGTTTCTAGGTAAAGGGGGCATAAACTCTATATATTTTTTGTAACTCATAGAAGGAGAAAAAATA